AATTTGACAAATTATTTTATAAAGTCAGTTTTATAGTTCAAAAAGCATTTTTGTGAAAATATTTCAACTAAATACTTTATAAAACATAATAATAATATTTTATAAAATAATATAAATCTTCTCACAAAAATTCATTTTAAACTTTGAAATTAATTTTAGAAAATAATTTGTAAAAATAAATATTTTGGACTTGTACTGTTCTTAATCTCACCGATTGAATTACAAAGGAGGATCTTTCGTAGATATCATGTTTAAAAAAATTAAAATAGCATTAAATTAAAATTATTTTATTTACAACATGTAAACCAATAAAAAACAGGAACAAAAATAACATTGAACACAAATAATTTATAGACAAAAATAGAAAGAAAAATAATGTAAAAATATCAAAATATTAATTATATTTAAATATGAAATAAACATACCTACACGAAAATATTTTAAAGCAAAAACTTAATTAACAACACAAAAAACACTCTAAAAACTAATCGAATTGAATAAGAGAAGAAAATTATTTTATCACACATACCTACATATTTTAATTTATTTACTTTGACCTTAAATAATTTCATTTAACAACAATTGACAATCTGCTAAATATAACGAGGTATAATAACTTATCAATAGAGGACCCTAGAAGCCAAGGGATACAAGTGACATTTAAAAAAAAAAGTAGTTATGTACAGAAAAAGGTAGTAAATGGTACATTTTACTTGGTATCCAAGGGATATAACTGAATTCTAAGCTAAGACATGTTGAAAAACCGAGTCATAAAACCACAAACAATTTTGACCCCCAATTACAAGTGTTTTTTTACTTTAAAAATGATTATTTCAAAACTAAACAAAATGTACTTATACCCCTTGGCTTATAGGGTCCTCAATAAAACTTATAAACAAAACCACAGAAGCACTTTTAGTATTTACTGACAGCAGACTGACAGACGACAGAAAATGACAGTAAAGAACATAATTGCGCCTTTTCAGTGCAGGGCTGCCAACAAATGTGCAGAAACCAATTTACATTGAAATCTGTGTGCAGCCCTGCGCATCTAAATTGTTGACCGAAATTCCTATTTAAAGAATCGTCTCTCTCTCCCTTGTCTCTGGTTCGCTTTACCGGGTTCGTAATAAGCGCGGACATATATGTCCGCATACTTATAAGTATGTATACTTCATATTAAAAAATGCACTTTTCATTCCGTTCATTTAAATTAATTAATTACCATTCAATTTATCTTACATTTTTAATAAAACTCGATCGGACTATTTATTAATAACTAAATTTTTATATTATATATGTTATGGCTAATGTGCAAACTTGGATAGTTTATAAACTATAGTTTATAAACTATCCAAGTTTGCACAGTTTAAAACTAGCTGGATAGTTTATAAACTAGCCAAAATGTCAGCTATTTTAATTGAAAATGTATTTTCAAGTAAATTAGCGGCTATTTTACAAAATAACCAAGGATCTTGGCTAATTTACTTGAAATTATTAGGGAAACTAAAATAGCTGGATAGTTTGTATACTATCCAATTCAGTTTGGCTAATATGAAAACCAAAATTTCTAGTAACACAAAATAGCCAAGCTTTAGCTAGTTTGTAAACTAACCAACCAATTCTCTGGCTAATTTATTAAAAAAGTGAGGTTACGGCATTGTTTTTCGTTTTGCCGGCTTAACCGGATTTGTTTTGTGCATTTTAACGTTTTTAAAATGAATCATAGGCAAAATTTTAACGCTTCCTTGTTAGAAAACTCAACAACACAACCCTACCGACCCCGCCCCATTGACCCCCCCGCCCCATTTGTCAAATGGTCAAAAATGAGAGAAAAAAAACCCAAACCAACTCAACTTGCTATGATTTGTGCATACTATCGCTAACAAAAAAAACTCATACAGCTATATTGTGGCTGTGTGAATAAAACTTTTCCGTCAATGTCAAGCTGTCATCGAGCTTTGTCACATCCATTATGACTTTTTTAACATTTTTAACCAAACAATGCAGACGAACTCTGGCAAGCCATTGAAGCCATTTGGAACTAGATAAAGCAAGACAGCGACTTCCATGCTTTGCCGTTTGCGGGCAGTAATTGACAAAAACAGAGGGATGACGAAATATTATTTTTTTTTTCAAACTTCAACCTAACTTTGTATTTAATTTTAGACCTTTCAAATGTGACGTATCATGTTAAAAGCCATAATTACTCCAACGAAATTATAGAAAATCAGGAACACTAGATTTTTAAGCTGTATGAGTTTTTTTTGTTAGCGATAGTATATGCAATATACCTATTTGTTCTAACATATTAAAATTCTATCAAAGACAACCGCCATTATATTTAAATTTACCGCGTACTCCTGTGTAAACCTGCCTCGTTTTGCAGCGACTTCTACTTTATTCTTAAATGGAATGGACTATAGGTTTTCTTTTCAAGAAGAAAAGGAGAAGCTATAGGTTATCCTAGACTGAGTGGTGCCAGCGTCAGTACGTTTGTACCGAAATCAGTACTTTTGAAATATAAAAAAGTACCTCGTTGATGATTTTCAGTACGTTTTCCAGTTTTTTTCGAACGTAAAACGTAAAAATTACGGCTACTCATTATAAACAGGCACACTGGTTTTGTTAATATTCTATTTTACGTTTTACGTATTTCTTACGGGCATCTTATGGTTACGTCCATTATGAATGAGCACTAAGTGCTTTTTTCTCTTTATTTAAATAAAAATTAAAGAAAAAATTAAAAGTTTAGGTTGGTGATACTGAGTTGTTTTAGTATCCTGGTAATTTTAGTTTTAAACTGTTGGCAGCGCGCGTTGTCTACTCAGTGTTGACATAAGGTTTGTTCCAAATTTGCCAAGAACCGTCCTTAGAACTCTTTGCTCATGGAAATAAGATAAAAAACGTCGAAAACGTTTACATGCAAAGCAATTATTGAAGCCAAATACCTCAATCTTTGTTAAAACAGAAAATTAATTATCGATAGGTAGACTATTTTTTATTTTACCAACAATATTGTTTTTTTGTAATAAGGTAGGTATAATAATAATAATAATTATCTATTTTGTTCTTTTGATTTTTACAGTTTATTTATGTGTTTATAATAGGTTCATTCCAACCAGCAGTAATATTACCGTAATATTATCGTCCGTAACAGCGTTAATGCGACTGCGCGAACAAAAATAGTAAAATTATTTTGAATAATGTATAAACTGGTTGGAACCTTTTTTGAACTGGTAGTACTTACAATCAGAAGAAAAAGAATATAACCCAAAACCCACAATTGTATTGTGCTAAAAGCTAAGTAAAGCGCATATAGGTATATCTATTTCAATAAAGTAATAAATATGGCAGGTTTTTTAAATAATTACTTGTATGATTCTTCGGATGACAAGGAATTTAGATTTTATTGGGGACATTGCTACTAGAAATAAATATAACCCACGTTTGTTGAGTTTATAAATATATATAAAAGTATATTTTAATAACATCACACATTGATAATAAATTCTTCCATTCCTGCTCACAAATGACAACAATTAGATGTATTAACATTAAAAATTAATAAAATCACCTTGTATAGCAGTCATTTTTAAATAATATGTCCACTTTAACAGAAAACAAACTTACAATATTACAAATGTTAATAAATAAACAAAAAGATGAGGTTATGTGCCCCTTCTACGCATGCGTCTAATTTTATTATCAACAGTTCTTGCTCTCGAGCAAGAATCGTTTGAACCGTAATTTAACTGTTCGTAACTCTGGTTGGAACGACGAACTGACAGTAATTGCCAGTTCTAAACTAGTAATTTTAGTTGGTTGGAACGACATTTTACAAACGCGCATGTGTATCAGTAATATTACTGGAAATTACTGCTGGTTGGAATGAACCTAATATATTGATAAAGTATAAAATAAAATTACGTTCATTTAAGTCGTTTTTTCGCGTAAATACTATGTAATACTACGGTTAAATAAGTCATGACGTCACAGTTAATTCATATAACCATGGTTAGGTTTCTAACATTTGACATTTGTTTACTTGTTCATAACCTATAATTTTTGAAATGTGTTTTTACCTATTTATATTTAATTTCTATGCTTTTACCGGTGTAAATAAATTTATTTGCCTCTTTTTATACCTAGTATATTCTTTTTCTATAGGTACTAGTTTTTTTAATACACGTTATCCAATTCTCCTACATGTTTAATACAAAATAAGGAAGAATATAAAAAAACCTGCATATAATTCCTCCACTTGTGGAGATTCACAATATGGAGCACCCTATCATTTATTTTTACTGACAACACCCCGTTTACCATTTTAATACAAAGTTTAAATTCGGTTTAAGAGCAATTGTACCTATAGGTATACTTAAAATATTTTAAATTTCAAATGTAAACAACTTCTTGACAGATCGAAACAGAGAAAAATATATATTAAAAAGAGAAAGACTATTAACCACGTTGAATAACTAGCTCAGCGATATAGTTTTATGGTCTGGTATTTGTGACGTCATAGTTAGGATTTTTGAACGCACTCTAAACGCAAAAATGCCTTAACTATTAACCACGGTTAAGTTTAATAACCATAGTATTTCATGGTATTTACGCGAAAAAACGACTTTAAGTTTCATGTTTACGTACCTAACCCCCCCGCCCACCCAACTTATCCCTTATCTATGCGTACCTATACGTTATCTTTCAAATTCAATACGTTTTTATTCCATTTCAGTACTTTAATTTTTCTACTACTGGCAACACTGCTAGACTCGCTTGCTCCAGGACCTCCAAGAAGAAGATTCAGCTGGCCAAATCCCGGAAGTAGAAGAAGAAGAAGGTTTTCTTTTACTATGGTTTTAAGTGGTCTATGGTCTAGGGCATAGATTAGATAAAGGGTGATTGCGGACAAAGGACGTGGACTTTAATATGTGATTTTTCTTGTAGTGATTATTATCGAAAGACTGCATACTGTTTATTAATTGGTTTAAAACCTTTTAAAGTTGGTAAAACCCAATTTAATTAAAATAACAACAATGAACCATAACGAATTATTGTTGGAGAAAAATAATGGAGTTAGGATTATAAGAATAAACCGTCCGAAAAGAAAAAATGCATTTTCTCCTAATATGTACATTAAGTTTGCAGAAATTTTAAATAACGATGCCAAAGATGATTCAATAGTTATAACCATTATAACTGGAGTAGGAGAATATTTTTCCAGTGGAAATGACATTATTGCTTCTGCTAGTAACAATAATATCCAAGAAGGGTAATATAATATATATAATAATATTGTCACCTTATTACTAAGTTAAACATTCTTAGTTTTGTACAAAATTGTTTTATTTTCACATTCTCAAAATATTAACCAAACTCTGTAACAAGAAGACTAAATACAGGAGAAGTAAGTCTCGAGTTATAGTATATATATATAGTCTTGATATATCAAGCCCAAGACATAATTATTTTAAAATTATACGCCAAATAGCGTATGCAGGGAATTTCATATATCTAATAATTCTATATTGCTGGTGCAATTATTTATAAGTTAAAGTTTCGCTGAATGTGTAAAACAGCAAATACTTTTTGTTGTACTTGATTAGTACAATTGGTCATGATGTATCATGCAATTGGTTGTGTCAATTCTCTGGTATGCACATAAGACTCCAAGTTCCATAAAAAGAGACAGATGCCTATATGTCTGTCCCCTATTCAACTAGCAATATAGGAGGATTAGGTATAGGTATAAGTAATTTACAATACATACTATTGTTGAAAATAACCGAGTATAGACGACTGGCGTCGCTAAAAATTTTGGCTCCCCCCCGCGAAAATGTTTACTGATTTCACATATTTTTAACATGTTTTTATATTGAAAATAAAAAATAAAACATCAGGTGATATGATGTTTTTATTATTTTTATTTATTAAATAAAATATTATAAACGAAAAATAACAACTTTTTTACAAAAAGCGAAAGAATATTTTTTATCTCCACGCGGTCTATAATTTAAACTTTATTGTTGTCAACATTCGATAAAGAAATACTTTGTGATGGCCAAGGCCGATAAAAATTTTTATGAGGCAAGTAATTAGTTCGATTTTTTCTCGCTAGGGGTATTGTTTTTACAAATTAATCCTTTTCTAAGAAATTAACGTACTAAACTGGTCTAATTTATTTATAATAAGCACTAATTTGTTTGTTTTACTGTTAATGTTTAATATTTTTCATTAAATTATTGTAAAATTAAATATGAATAATAAAACAAAAAGTGAGGAGGCAACCAAGAAAACTCACGATTCTTTTTCTACGATTTATTTTATTTTATTTATAAATTTTAATTTGCTTTAAGTTTTCAGTGAAATTAAATACTAAACACAGCTTAAACATTCCAAACTACCTATTTTTTAAATAAAAATACAAACAAATTGAAATTAGATACCTACCTATTTATTAAACAATTAATTAAATTCATTGTAATAGCAAAAATCTATTTCTACTTAAATCATATTGCTAGGTATTGTCAAACTATTACTGCTTCTAAAAGCAATAATAATTATTGTACATTTAATGTAATCTTTAGCTAATAAATAAATGAGATTCTAAAAAAGTGATGTTAAATTAAATTGACCTATATAAAGTGCTTTGAAGATAAAATGTTGTATGCCATCCGGCCAAGAAGTGCCTTTTTGTGCTTCGCTCAATTGTAGGCCTCCGCTACGCGTCGGCCTTCAAACCTTGAGCTTAGCACAAAAAGCCTTACTTCTTAACCTAATGACATAAATAACTATTTAAATAAGGTTCTCCACTGTATCTACCTATAACACAGTTCAACACGATCTCCCTCCCTTAAAAAATTTTAACAGATTTTAAAAATATTGGTTAAAAAAAGTATCCGTTTTACGAAATCACGTCAAATTTTTTATTTTTAAATTTAACTAAATGTATATGAAGATAAAAATAAAAGTTTGTACGTGTCACGCTTTGCAATTAATCTTTACTAGGCTCACTGGATTATGGGGTTTGCTCCTCCGTCGCTCACCCCACAAACTTTCAACTCGCCCGTAAAAATTCATTTACAAAGCTTGACACGTAAATAACTATTATACACCCATTCTTATTATTTTAACATTTACAGATATTTAATTTTTTATTTTGTTATAAATTATATTTTATCTCCACGCGGTCTATAATTTAAACTTTATTGTTGTCAACATTCGATAAAGAAATACCTTGTTATGGCCTAGGCCGATAAAAATTTTTATGAGGCAAGTAGTTTTTTTCTCGCTTTTGACAAATTAATCATTTTCTAAGAAATTAACATACTAAACTGGTTTAATTTATTTATAATAAGCACTAATTTGTTTGTTTTACTGTTAATGTTTAATATTTTTTATGAAATTATTGTAAAATTAAAGATGAATAATAAAACAAAAAGTGAGGTTAGGCAACCAAGAAAACGCACGATTCTCGATTTAAATTATCTTTAAGTTTTAATTTGCTTGAAGTTTTCAGTGAAATTAAATGTTAAACGCAGCTTTAACATTCCAAACTACCTATTTTTTAAATAAAAATCCAAACAAATTGAAATTAGATACCTACCTATTTATTAAACAATTAATTGAATTCAATGTAATAGCAAAAATCCATTTCTACTTAAATCATGTAGCTAGGTATTGTCAAACTTTTACTGCTTCTAAAAGCAATAATAATTATTGTATATTTAATGTAATCTTTTGCTAATAAATAAATGAGATTCTAAAAAAGTGAGGTTAGGCCGCTTTGATGTTGAATTAAATTGACCTATATAAAGTGCTTTGAAGATAAAATGTTCTATGCCATTCGGCCAAGAAGTGCCTTTTTGTGCTTCGCTCAATTGTAGGCCTCCGCTACGCGTCGGCCTTCAAACCTTGAGCTTAGCACAAAAAGCCTTACTTCTTAACCTAATGACATAAATAACTATTTCAAATATTGTAGGTTTTATATAATACAACAATTGAGGAGCATCCGTGCAAAACCGGCTATATCCACTTTAATAAAATGTTGGGAAAATGGCAAAAACACTCGGTTTCCTGGCCTTTACAGATAAAAGAAAAAGCAAACTTGAGTTTTGTGGGCTTTGCGGTACTTGATTTATAAGACATACTTTCGTTTTCAAAAACTTTATATTAAGGCCAAAATTTCAAAAAATGTTTTGTACATACCTAGCCGGTTTTTCTCGAAAACCGAATAAAAAACGAATAAAATGTGAAAAAAACCTTTATTATTCAAAAATATTAACAAAATAAATTTAGTGCAAACATGAAAAATACAGAACAAATTTTAGTATTAGTATCGACATATCCAAGCCATATATTATTATTTATTGGATATAGCCGGGTTTGCTATAAAAACGTGGATTTGGCCGGTTTTGCTCCTAAAGCTACCTTTTAAATGTGATTTTAACATGGTATAGTCGGATTTAAACAGAATTATCTTGGTTGTCGATAGAAATGAACCCAAAGATGCTAAATCAATAAAAACAAAAAAAACTGAATAAAATGGATTTAGCCGGTTTTGCACGGATGCTCCTCAATTATACTTAAAATAAATATTTTTTTTAATTAAAAATAAATTCTATTTTTAATATTTGATTTTTTTAAACAAACCAACAGATTTGTATTTATCTTATATTCAATATATGTATATTGGTCTTTTAGTTTGCTTCAAAAGTGGTATTTTTTAGATTGTGGTCCATTCGCATCACAAGTTGTGATTCACAACCAAAAAAATACTACTGGATGTATTTCGTACATGTGCAACACCCTGTATAAAATTAAAATAATTTTAAACGGTACTTTTAATGGTGGTCCATTTATTCGTTAAATAATTTTAGCTGTTATTGAAGCCGTGATCTGAAAAAACGCCGAGACACGGGTATCATTTTTTAAGTCATTTTCAAAATCTGTAGAATTTTGGTATGGGAAAGAAAATAATTTAAATTTTGTCGTGCTACTACTATAAAATAATAAAAAAGAAAACTAGCAATCTTACAGTGTTGCCATAATTTTTTAAGTGTCACGTTTTTTGTTTTGCAGATAATACGATGGAAATAAGTTTTTTAATGTTTTGGGGCAAGTATCGGCCGGGTCCCAACGAGGTTAGAGCCCCCCGCGGTTGCGGGCGTTCGCGGTAGTGTCGCTACGCCACTGCTATAGACTATAGTCTACCTACCGATTATTCAAGTGATTTTAATATCGCGGGGCTAAATAACGAGGCGTTCGGCGTTGCTTCGTTACATTCCCAGACAGCACAAATTATCCATTAGATATCCAAGGGATGTACTTTCTGGATATCCAAAATATCCAATAGATATACATGGATAACCATTAGATATCCAATGGATATCCAAATGTCCGCCTATATCCAGCATATAGCCGATATCCAGTGGATATTCACATATATATCCAATGGATATACTTTTTTGATATCCAATACATCCACTGGATATCTATGGATAACCATTATATAACCTATTGATATTAGGGTGTCCGTTATTTACCAACTTGGTTTTTTTGTTTGCAGCGCCCCCAAAGTTTTTAGTTTATTACCTAAAAAAAATTATAAAAAATATTAATATTAAACCGTGCCACAAAGACGATACATTTTCCATTTAAATAACATGGGGTTTCGGCAAGTTTTACATTTAAATTTTATTCTCCCGAGCAAGTTAATATACAGCAATAAGAAACACATATTTTTATTGGAAATTGAACGCTGTACAAAAAAGATTTGCTACGATTTTTTCATACATTCACTGATTTAACAGTTATTTAAGGTTAAAGATAAACTTATAGTAATTTTTTTGATTTTTTTTACTTTGACAGCAAAATTATAACTTTTAAACCAGTGAAACCCTATGTTATTTAAATGGAAAATGTATCGTCTTTGTGGCACGGTTTAATAATATATTTTTTTTGTAATTTTTTAAATATTTTTTTGTAGGACATAAACTAAAAATTTAGGGGACGCTGCGAACAAAAAAAAACAAGTTGGTAAATAACGGACCCCCTAATGGATATCCAAATGTCCGCCTATATACAGGACATAGCAGACATCCAGTGGATATCCACATATCCATATATACATAATCTGTACCCCAGAGCGAACTATATTAGATCCACTTTTCCACGTCCACGTTTCATATTTTTTATATCTTTCCAATAGTAAACTGAATTAAGTACTACTCTTACTAAGTTTTTGATTTATCAAAAAAACAAGTAAGCCAGCATTACCCGTATAGGAGTAAAGCTGGATTTGGATAGTTAAGGTAACGGTGGAGGCAGCGGTAGAGGTATCACTTTCTGCAATTTATAGTTCAGAAAGTAGCGGTAGCGGTACTGGCGACGCATGCGTACTTTAATGCAGATTGTAATTTTGTTTGTACAGTTCGGTTTTGGGTCTCGTGTCGTCGGTAGCTCTATGAAAGAGTATATGAAAAATAAGTGACTTCTCGACCCAGGAGAGGCAAAATCGGACCAGTGTAAAAACAAATTGGTATTAATCGAGAATTTGTAAAAATATATGGAAATAACTAAGAGGTGGATCGGATGATTGAAGATTAAAGACAATTGGAAAATTCTGTGTATGAAGCCATGTGTACATAGTGAAGCGAAAAGATGACATGGTTCTATAAAATTTGATAAATAATTAAGAATATATATTCTTATATATATAAATGATGCAAGGGATGAATTAATCTCAGATTCTTTTATATAAGACCCTTGATCATAATAAAGAAAATTTTAATAATATAATGTGCTGGCCAAATAGCTTTTAAATTAAGCTAAAGGTCATTCCTCTGAACACAGAATTGGGTTCAGAATTAAGAAGAAAAATTTTGTTTGTAAAATTTGACAGCAAAAGGTTAAGGTTTCTACGAAAACATGGATTGCGAGGACAATGCTGTGCTTCTGGGCCATATGGCGTTTTGCGAAATATTATATAATAAACCCTACAATACAACATATTTGTTGTATTGCAGGTAGGGATTGCAATCCGGTACCAATTTCAATCCGGTCGGATCCGGCCGGATTCCTGTCAATCCGGCCAGATCCGGTCGGATCCGGCCAAATTAGTTATTCATGTTTATAATTCAATTTAATTATTACCTTTATGTGCTATATCTAGTATGTATTATGTGTAAATCTCAGAGATTCACACATGTGTATGTATACTAGATATAGCACATAAAGTTAATAATTAAATTTAATTTTTTGTTTTTATCTTTAGTAAATGTCAAACTTACTTTTTACTAATAAAAGTTTTCTATATATCAATAAACCTTTATTAGAATTAAATTAAGGCAAAAAATATATAACAAATGTATTTATTGGTATGTCTCATTTAACTTTAAATTCCAGATATAACTTTTTAAGTATTTTTGATTGTTCAAAAAATTATATTTTTTTGGATTTTTAAATTCAGTAAACCTTTGCAAGTATATACCTACCAAAAGCAGTACAGTTTTTACCCATTTTATCTTTTTTTTAAGGTTTTAAGCAAAATATCAAGTCATCTACGCCACCAATTAAAAAAAATATTTAAATTTAAGTTTAAAATTAATTAAATAGTTTTTAGTATATATCATTATTTATTATCAAAATACAGTACGTACTTTTATTACTCGTCACCTTCGTTGCCGGTTTTATTAGACTACTGCGTTTTTTTATATATAAAAAAACGCAGTAGTCTAACAAAACCGGTAACGAAGGTGACGAGTAATAAAAGTACGTACCTGCTCCAACAGAATCACGTAGAATTTTCTGGAACAACGACAATAAATAAACCACCTACACGTTTCCAGTAGCAAAATAAGACTGATTCACTGCTCTAGTCAAGAACGTTTGACCAAAAATCATCCCCACCAATATTCCATTTCGTAAATAATAGTAAGTGGCGTAGATGACCCTTACCTTATGGGACACAATATCTAGAGTCTTAAAAACTAAACAAATTAAAAAAAAAAACTAAAATTTGATAAATTGGGTGAACTTGATGTTTACTCTATGAGTTTATAAGGTTAAACTTAAGAAACAGTGCAATTTACATTTAAAAAACTATTTTGCACATTTAGTTTCGGGTGAGGGACCGGTAGTGTAGGTGACATTATAAATGTTTCCAATTAAATAAAAATATATTTTATATATTTTTTACAATTTATTTTATATAAATGCGCTAAAGAGCATGATAGTTTTTAAGTGATGTCCTAAAAACTTGCAAAATATTATTATTTAAAAAAATATTTGGCCGGGACAGGTCATTTTTAAGTTAAATGAGACATACCCTTATGGCGTTTTAGTCACGGGCTGAAGTTAGAAACAGTGGCTTTTAAGCTTTTTAGTCACGGGCTGAAGTTTGCTTTATTATAAATTGGAAAAAAGTGAGGTTAAATTCGAGTGACAGTTGACAGATGTCAAGTTTTTAACAAATAAAATTGGCTTTAAATTCCGTTTTATGTTTGTCGTAGATAAAGTATAGTATGCAACTGGTTTATAAAACTTATCTAGATACTCGTTTTTATTAAACACTCGCTCGCAAGCTTCACTCGTGCTTAATTAAACTCGTAACTAAAATGGCGTTTATAAAACTTGATACTTAATATACTATTATATATTCCTCTACTGACGACCTGTGACTTTATGGCGGTTTAGTCACGGGCTGAAGTTAGCAACAGTGGTTTTTGGGCTTTTTAGTCACGGGCTGAAGTTAGATTTAATATAAATTGGGAAATAGTGAGGTTAAACCCGGGTGACAGTTGACAGATGTCAATCTTTTAACAAATTAAATTTGCTTTAAATTCTGTTTTGTGTTCGTCGTATATAAAGCATGGTATGTAACTCGTTTATAAACTTCTCTAGACACTCGTTTTTATTAAACACTCGCTCGCAAGCTTCGCTGGTGCTTAATTTAACTCTTAGCTAAAATACCGTTTATAAAATTTGTTACATAATATACTATTCTTCATAAGTGTAATAATAAAGTTATTATAAACAAAATCAGAAATATGCATCATTAGCAAGGATTCGTTACTCAATTTAATTCTAAGTACTTATATAATTTACTGAAATTATTCTCGTACTCTTGAAGGAAACAAAAATAATTTGACTATCAAGCGAGTCAAATGACAAACTGTCAGTTTGAAATCCAACTGTCAGTTTAAAACTAATGGCGTGTGGTCGGATCCGGCCGGATCATGCCGGATCCGGTCGACGTTTAATGATGCCGGATCCGCAGGATTACCGGATCCGGTTTTTCGGATTGCAATCCCTAATTGCAGGGTTTCAAGTACGTTATGGGGGTCGTCAAGTACGTCGCTATAAAACGAGGGAATTAAATCGGGAACGAGCTAAGAAAAGCCATTTCAAGTAGGTATTAAAAAAAATAAAACTGACTGATAAAGAGCAGTTCTTTAAATAAAATGACTGTGCCCATTTTTGACAATTGGTTGCCCCTCGCATAAACACTAAATTTACAAGGTGAGGCTGCCAACTGAAAACTGCCGTGTGATTGTCTGGAGTAGCGGTTCCTCTGACAACTAAATGGTTTCATATAATATTCAATGCCGAACTCGGCTACCGCTATCTCTACCGCTGCCTCTACCGATACCTTTAAAACTATAAATCCAGCTTTATAGGTATATGGTACGAAGTAAAAAAAAAATGGTATAAATACCATTATAATGGTACGACTGGCAACACACCTGCCGCAGGGCCCAACAGTAATACATCCACTCAAAGACACCGAGTGTGCGCACGATCATTTTACGCAACCATAGGTAACCTCCTGCTGAGTTCGTGCTTACGTTTTTTGGTGTTTCCCCACCTAGCAAGTTTAAACTTAGAATTCTTCTCTTGTATTTAGTCTTTTTGCTTTATAAGCTTTTTAAATTAAATTAAAAAATTATTTATAGCTCATAGATTATGCGCCGATTCTCATTTGACACGCACGGAACCGTACAGGCAAAGGCATGGCACATGGGCAATATTTCCTGTCACATATTAAGTTAGAAGTTTCTAGCTTTGTAAAGATCTTTACTCGAGTTATAAAAACGTTAATTAAAATTGCTATAATATTAGACCAAGAGAGCAAGAAAATGTTAACAAATATTTCAGAAAGAAAGTCGTTTTTGAGTTTGTGGGATACTTAAATTATACACGGATTCTTATATAACTTAGTCCACTTTATTCATGTATTTAGTTACAAAAACGGAATATTGACACCTTGTCTGTTTCAATAATATCAAACATTAATAATAATTTCATCTTTTTTATAAATAAACCTTCTTGATTCAGGCGAATTGATTTTTCTAATCTCCCGGTTTCTTTAGCCTTGATCCAACGCCAATGGATGGCGCTAGTTGTCGGTGCACAGGACATTTGGATCAGCAGCCGACAGGTGGCTCTACTAGTCGCCACATTACCCCTCCACAGTGTGGTTTAGGGCATCCTTTTCAAATGTTAAGGCGTTCTGGGAAATGGACGTGACGCCCGGAACGCGTGGTACGGACTTCCGGTGAAATATGGCTGGATTCGACGTCATCGGGATCGCCAGTCGTACTGGTCAGGCGACTTGAAAGTCCTGGAGAGGCACTCTGGAGTAGGTGTTGTGACTGAAGCATGTGGGCAGGCTTCAAGCGGTGATTTCTGCTAGCGGAGCGACTTCGGGCCATCTGGTGAATCGGTCCACGGCAGTGAAACAATATCGGAAACCATTTGCAAGAGGAAGGGGTGGGCAAGCATGGTTGCGTTTGCCAGGTGAGCTTTGCAAGCGTTAAATGCATTGAGTCTAGCGGGTGTCATTTCAATAAGCGAAGAACCTTTGACTTTTGTGCCTTGGAGTGCGTCATCTAAAGGGGCTTGGAGGGATGCTGCATCATGGATGAAACGCCGGTAGAAAGTAAACATGCCAAGAAAACGTCGCAAGTCTTTGGCGGTGCTGGGTGGCTTGTACGACAGTATAGCTTCAACTTTCTCTGGGAGTGGCTGAATACCCTGTGCGGATACGTGATGTCCGAGAAAAGCAAGGTTTGGGACTCCTAGAATGCATTTAGCTGGGTTTATGAGTATACCATTTTCGGAAAGTCGTTGAAACACGATGCGGAGATGACTTTCATGCTCTGATACTGAGTGTGATGCAATGAGAATATCGTCGATGTGACAGGTGCAAAAGGTAAGACCAATGAGAATTTGGTCCATAAATCTTTGGAACGTTTGTCCCGCATTTCTTAAACCAAAAGGCATGAATAAGAACTCAAAAAGGCCAAAAGGAGTGATGATTGCTGTTTTTGGGATGTCATCAGGGGCCATTGGAATTTGTAGAAATGCTTTCACTAGGTCCAATTTTGAAAAAATTGTGCATCCTGATAAAAAGGCATTGAAGTCTGCTACGTTTCGAACTGGGTAACAGTCTGGAATGGTGCGGGCATTCAGTGCCCGGTAATCTCCACAAGGTCGCCAACCATCCTTCTTGGGCACCATGTGAAGTGGAGCTGCCCAACTGCTTGAAGACGGGCGCGCAATACCGTTACGGACCATGTCCTCAAATTCTGCACGCGCAATCTTCAGTCGGTCTGGGGGAAGGCGACGCGCGCGACTAGTTACTGAAGGTCCTGGTGTTACGCGGATGTAATGTCTCGTACCATGAAGAGTTGGTCTCGGTTGTCCAACAGGGCGTGTCAGATCTGGAAACTCTGACAACAGTGCAGCAAAAGGACTAGTTTCTGAGACGGTTTTGACACTAGGCTGGTTTGGCACAATTATAGTGCCGTAAGTCTTTAAAAAAATTGTATTGTCGACAAGGCGGGAACGGCGTATGTCAACTAAAAGGTCGTAAAAAGAAAGAAAATCTACTCCTATGATCGGCTTCTGTACGTCAGCTATGATAAAACGCCATGAAAAATCTCTTCGGAGGCCAAGGTCAAGGTGAAGATTTATGGCACCGTAAGTAGCAATTGTTGTACCGTTGGCGGCAAGAAGTTCATAAGAAGAACGTGGAGAACGGTCACGAACACGGGAACGAGGATATACACATAGGTCAGAACCTGTGTCGATTAAAAATTGCACACGTGACTTGCGGTCAGAAACATGTAAACGGCGCTGAGAATCTGCACAGCCAATGTGCGCCTCTACTGGCTGTTGCTGGTGTTTTCCGAACGGGCACATGGAGATTTACAGTGACGTGCATTGTTGCCATAATTGTGATGGTACCAACATAAACCATCAGTTTGTTGCTCTTGGTGATTAGGTGTCCCATCGCCGGAGTGGTCGCGAGAACGAATACGTGTTTGGGAACGGCCACGTGACTTTGGGATTGGGGAATTGTTTGAAAGAGCAGCAATTTGCTTAGCAAGCTCGGTTATCTGCTGAGCCAGGGCTTGCAAAGGGTCAGAGGTCACTGTGGCAACACGAGGAGTGGCAGTTACAGCATGCACCTTATCAGCTAGGTGGGCTACTGTATCAAGAGAAGTAGTGTCAATTTGTAAAGCAATTATACCTTGTAACTGTGGAGGTAGTCTGTCCATCCATAAAGTCTTCAATAGTGACTCAGGGATTGAGTCGGAATCAGCAAGGCCACGGAGATGGCGAAGGAACTGTGACGGTGTCCTGTCGCCCAACTCTTCCTGGGATAACACTTGGCGTACTCGTTGTTCTGCAGTCTTAGAAAATCGTGAGATCAGCTCTTGCTTAAGTTTGTTGTATTTGTCAACAATTGGAGGATGGAGGATGATGTCTTTAACTTCGAAGGCATAGGTATTATCCAACTGTGCCGTTATGTGGCTGAACTTTGTTGAATCTTGAGTAATACCAG